AATTTCTAAAGACGAAAAGACAATGAAAGATAAGTTTGTATTCTTAAGAAAGAAGAAAATTATGCATGTTTTAAAATCTTAAGTACAGTTTAATTTAATCTGCAAAAAGTAATTTCGTAGAAATTAAAATAAGAAAAATCCTTCTTAAAACCGCTGTAACATCTGGAGATCGAATACTTTTATTATTATTATTATTATTTAGTAAACGTTCCTTAAGCATTGGTTCGTATTACCAAAGAACAAAATATAAACTTTATTTCATAAGTTCTATTTTCTTGTTTTTGCTCAATTTTTGGTTGATCTTGTGCAAGTTTTGTTGAGATTAAGATTTTTTTACTTCCTTGTAGACTTCGAAGATAGCCAACCAATTATTGGTGACTTTGATTGATTACGTATTATTTATACATAGTGAAAAAATTCACGGACAAAACGCGGAAAACATGATCGATGTTTATTGTAAACGATATATTTGATCACTGTCTAATAACAATCAAATTGTTTTCTATTAAATAATCTGAAACTATTTTAGGCACATTTATATGTCTTATATGTACTTTTATAACTTATGTATCATTACAAAATCTTATTTTATATTTTCACCGACATCTGTTTACAGTTTTCATTTGTCGCTATATTTCCTAAAGTTTTATTAAAATAGCAATCCCGATATTCATTCAGAGAAAAACGAAAACTTAAATTTAATAAAATTATTATGTACTTATGTTACCGAAATAATTATTTTGCCAAAATGAGGGAAAAAAGAGCACATACATTAAAACCATTTTAGGATGTCATAATATATATTTTTATATATTTTTACAATAGAATTCTCAACTGTGAACTGATCATATCTTTAGAATAAAATGATACGCTTAATGCATATTGATTTAGTTTCTGATATCGCCAATAAATAATTGTGAGATACAGGTTCCCTTATATTTCTAGTCAGTGAACATAACAATCTCAGACAATTAAGAAAGTAGGAATTCCAATAATTCATATATCCTTTAACACTATCCTATTATATATTTTTATTATAATAAATATATAAGCACTTTCGTCATTATCCTGGCGTGTCTGGCTAGCCTTGAACCGTATCCTATAAAAAAATATTGTTAAAACGTTTTTTAAGTTGATTCATAACAAATAATGTAATTTGAAATAATTTATTTTGACTGAAAAACGAAAATGAATTAGAACATGATACTAGTGGTTTATCTTGACCAAAACACTGACAATGAAACTACCCTATTATATTTAGTTTTCATCTAAACAGTCTACTCAAATATTACATCTTTCTACCACCTGTATGCTGACGATTTTCAGATATATAAGAAATCAAATCTCATTGATGTTTCCAATACCATTAGTTTGTTCCATTAAGACCTGCTACGTATATATTATAGTGTTTTGCTACTTAATCTGTATAAGCCACCGACTTCAAAAAGTGATTACATATTAAGAAATTGTTGATATTCAGTTAGGTAATGAATGAGATTATTGGAACGAAAAAAAATAGTTTTCTAAATTCGTTTATCTAAATTGGGCGTTTAATGGATTTTTGTGTAAATATTTAGAATTTTTTCTTATATCGGTTAGGTAAGGAAATAGTAGTTAGATATAAAAAATGAATTACTTTTTAGTTTCTATGTTGTTTTTTTACATTAAAATTATGTAGTACTTTTCCTTGATCCTTGTCTCGAATAGTTGTCTTTTTAACGAAAAGGCTGTCAAGGTTGTGCCTTTAATCTACTATAATTTGAATAGTTGTTAAGGGTATACAATAAAGAATACATTATTATTATTAATGTGCTCTTACAATAGAGAACTAAGCATTTATTTAATTTTAATCAATATTCTCGGTAACTTCTCTATGCCAAAACTAGGGCCTGAAAATTTTAAAAAATTGTGGGAAATCAAATACTATCCAGTTTTTATTCTTTATATAAATGTTTAACATTTTCTTGACAAGCTAAACCTTTCGTGGACATTGTATTGAAAATAATTTTTATTTAAAGTTTTCTTAAGAGAAACATAATTTATTCTCACCAAAGGCGAGGTCAAGAGGAAAATATTTGTATTGTCGACATGGAATGAAAACATAATATTTCGCAGCCAAAGCAATTTGATCTCAAATATATATTTCCATTTTGTTATTTCTCCGTCAATTAAAAAAGGTTAAACCAAGTCAAGTATAAAGTTTTGGCATAAAATATTAATTTTGTTAAAATAATTATGACAAGACAAAGTGGGATAATTTTATAATTTCTTGAATCATGACATTTTCCGGTCCAAATAACATCCTGGACTGTTTTTTCAGTCGACTTCCAAAAAAGAGGAGGAGGAATTGATAACATTCCTCTGTATTTTTTTAATATTTTTGTTACTTAATAATTTTGAATTGGGTGAAGCGATTTAATTTTTTATTTTATTAAAAAGCTGATGCTTCCAATTTGTTACCATTTCAATTTGGTGCACTTTTGGCCATGGCAACCGGGAGAAAACTATGTAAGTCTAAAATTAGCATTAAGTGTGTGTGCCTTAGTTGAACGAGTAACTTCAACGCAAAACCGATTTCGTTTAATTTATTAAAAAGGTAGAATTCATAAATTGTCCCATGATGATTACAACAAGACCAATCATGGAATCCTGAAAAGTATGAGTAAAATCCTTGAAACGTGTTGTAAGGCATCCTTAATACACATTAAGTAATGGTAATACTCAAGGTATATTATGTTTGATCTTCATTGTTGGAAGACAGATTCGACTAAAACGACTTCAAAAGAAGACGAGGATCTCAATTTGTAGGAATCTTTTTTATATATGCTCCCTGATTTCTCTTATACTGGGAGACCAATTGAAGATCTTTTATTACTGATAGGTTTCATCTCTCCGGTGGTTTTACGGTCTGGAAGTAAGCTTCTTATAATGGGATCCTCTAATAATTAAGGGAAATCAACTGTTTTTATATAAATGTGCATTCGATAAGGTGGTTACATAATTTGGATGACTCTTGAAGAAGTCGTGCTGTATTTCTTTCTCTATTATGGTTTATATTCTCAGTTTTGTCTATTCAAGCTCCTGAGCTCGACTTTTCTAATACGAGATGCACATAAAGAGATATAAATAGTAGTCGTTTATCTACATTAGGTCTTCAGTCGATTTTTATACAGGATATTTAGAATTTACTATTAGATAGCTTAGGTAAGGAAGTAATATAAAGTGAAAAATTATTTAGGTCTTGTCTTCCTGTGTTGTTATTTGAAGTTTTTTTGTACTTAAAAAGGGTTTAATATTTAAAAAACTTAACTCAATAACGATATTAAATATCAGCTCCTGTAGATATAAGATTTATTATAACATAATATTTTAGATTTAACCTGTTGTTGTTTTAGGTATTACTTTGAGAAAATTGTCTTAATAGTTTACTATAAAAATAAGTTCTTATCAGTTATATTCAGTCTTTATATCCCCTGAAAGTGAATTAACGATGTTTTTATTGCTTTTTAAATTCAAACACCTAAGCCTTTAAAATTCAAATGAATACTATTGTATCATTATAATTTTCAATATCGTTAAAATTTATTGATATCTAAGTGAATCATGAAATTGGTATGAAGGAAGATACAGAAAAAGTATTTCATAATATTAAAACGAATAAACAAAGCGTTCCTATTCAAATAAAAGACTGTTTGAATTAGTATAGAAATGTTTACGTTGGTCAGTAGTAACATTTAGAAGTAGGTGGTCTGTTTTCCATTATACGTTGATTATTTGTTAAATCACTATTTTTAACTCATATCTATTTAAAAATCTGTACTGGTGATCAATGTTGATGAAGGTCATTTGGTTTTGATTTTCACTAAAGTAATATTCAAGTTTTCGTATATACGCTGATACTCTATAGTTTTCTGGCGTGCGGCCAATGCTATTTCAGATGTGGCTCTTTATTGGAAGAATAAGTAATCAATTAAAACAACCGCATTTATTAAGTTATGGAATAAAGTAATAACTGATAAAAAATATATATTTTCTCAAATAATTTTTCCTTTTTTTAATCGTTGTCAACCATTTGAAATTAAAAGAGACATTTGGTACAATTAAAAATAAAAGATCACCAAAATTTGGAAATTCAATTTATCTACTTAGATTGTAAACAAAAGTTGTCCAGTCCTTAACTTGGTAGTAGTTAGATGTCTATATAGATTGATAGATTAGTAGTTCATGAAAGTGATTATCGGAAGTGCTTAGTTATAGTCGATTAATCTGTTTGATATTAAGTAGATTATATGTTACAATGTTGTGCAGTTATAATAAGTCGCTTCATTTAACCAAATGGTTTAATTCAATGATTATTGTATTAATCTAAACGTTATAGCTAATGTAGTAACTGCTGTTGATTTTATTTATTATTTTTGTATTGAATTAAGTGAATCATCACAAATAACGTCACTGATTATTATTGGCAACTGACCTCATTATTTCCAACATTATTAGGAAATAGGTTTTGCTATCAACCTGTCTATGATTTGTAGTACCAATTATGTTCAATACATTATTGACGTATGCTTATAGGTAATTAAAAATGCTACTAATAGAAATTTCTAGTTAGGAAAAATAATTGGAGATATATGAAAAATACGAATAAATCGGTTTGAAAGTTATAACTCCATGTCATGTCATTTTAATGAATCACGTATGGGATATACGAGTATGTTATTTAATGCGTTTATAATTCATTTAATGAATAAGCGTTGTGTTCTGATAATTATATAACATGATTGAAAATCAATGAGTATCCATAATTAAGCAACAAATATTTTATACAAGTCCTTTTTCCTGTAGTTATGAGAATTTCATATATTTTTCTTTATTAAAAAACATATTATACTTGGGTATCATTTAAAAGCGTGAAAATTTAGCGTTTGAAGTTTTTACCGTCAAGTTCTTTGTAGGACAAACTCAATATACAGAGAAATCTCAATAAAAGTAAACTCAATTTACCTATATTGTTTTATATTTAACCTTTGGTATAAATTTTTATAACTAAATAGTACATGGCCAAATAAAACAACTTTATACAACTATAAGTAAATTTTATTTTCGACAACCGCATAATGCGTGTTATATTAATAACTATATATATACATTTTAATCCTTTTTACACTTTATTATCACATAAAATATCAGTAAATTCTACTATACTACTGTTTGGAAAAATATAAAGTTCACTAATTCTCTCGTCTCCGATTGGTAAGTCGTCTTTGGGATATTTTTTCGATTGAGACCTCCTTGTGGATGTTTCCCGAGACTTAATTTTGTCGTATCTACTACCATTATTATAAGAATCAAATTCGTTTCTCTTGGATCGATATAAGACGTTTGTATCAGATTCTCTATTCTGATTTCTTGAGCAGGTACAGGGATTTTTAGCATCCGTCGGAGCTGTATTTGTGGATTTTCTCGTTGAATAAATACTTCTTTCATTTGTAGATCGGATCGAGAGAACCCGTGTTCTATAAGATTGACCGTCCTGAAATAAATATATATTTAACTGTAAGACCCCAGACATACACAAACTATTTATGATATAAAATTATTGTGAATCTTACCTCGTAACTATCATTCATAAATCTGTTCCGCTTTCGTCTAAAAGTAAACCTTTGCTTGAACTCCTTTTTAAATTTCTCCTGAAACATAAAATAGCTAATAATCTAGCTTACTCTTAAACATTAAAAATAGTGGAAATTGTTGCTGTATATTGACTGTAAGCTATTAAAATACTAATAAGGAAAAAATATTTACTGAGTTAATAAAAAAATAAATTAACTCTTGTGCTATAAAACATGGGAGGGTATCGGATTTTATATTTATAGGGTAACTAGTTAGGACGTCGTGTTTTCTTTCATCGCGCGATAAATTTCAATGAACTTATCCGTCATTAACTTTTCGTTTCAAATAAAGCTTAGCCCGTTGACAAAATATTGGAAAACGCAGACGCAGAAAACAATTTAGATATATGATCCGAACCAGTGACCGATGTGTTTTGTAACGAACAATTTACTGGAGAACAGAGACCGGAGTATAATGAGATATGACTTATATGATAGGATAGGACTAATATGAACAAAAAAAATGCAGTTAAAATTATATTGACTTAATAAAGATAAAGTCAATTTCCCAATTTAAAGATGTTTTTTTATTTGCTACCTTTAACAGTTGTCACTTTGTGTAACAGTTAATACGACTGCTATTACAATACCCATTTAATTTACTGAGAACGAAACAGTTTATTTTGACGGAAAATATTATTAGTACAGTAATTTGGTATTTTAAAAACATTAATCAAGTAATTCTAAATCTATTTATATCCGACTATATAGTCGAAATTATTATTTTTCATGATTATTTATTTATATTTATAGAAATCCTCTGTCAATAAATATTATTGTTTAATTCATCCTATATTAAGAAAACTTACACCTGACTTTTTTTCCTAAGACATTGCGGTAATGGATATGCCTATTAAGTGAATGATTTAACAATTCTAGAGACATCACAAGAAGTCTTACAACAAAAATAATACTGCTATTAGTTTCTCATTAACGTAATGAAAATTTTATTTTCATGTAACCTTGATTTTTTTCTTATGAAACACTATATGATTATACTCACATTATATATCGCATAGATGAAGGGATTGTAGCAGGAGTTGCTCATTGCCAGCCAATCAAAGCAAAAAAATATTACGTTTATGTACCGGTACCTGAAAAATATACATAGTATTATAACTGAATAGTTGGATGTTCAAAGTTTATGTATTAGTGAGTTTTTTCTCTCAGTAACTGGAACAGGTTTATTATTTTTTTATTGTGTGAATTTTATGTATAATTTTAATAAGAGTGTACCAAAGAGAAGTAATAGTCATTATAATTCCGTTTTGAAAGAAAGCTTAGTAATTTTATTAAATTGATAATATATATATATATATATATATATATGGAATTCAAACTATAGTCTTATACATATTTGTAGAATACCCATTAGTTAATGCATTTTTATCTTTATATACTGTTGGTTTTATTAACACGCTTATCTTTTTATTCAACATTATTTTTTCTTATCTGCCTCCGCCTAACAGACAAACACTAATTTAGAAAAAAATGCACATCATCAAACTAGCGTTTTTGAAATAATAACCCTCACATATACTTTATACTTAATGAATCCTATTATTTATTTTTCTTCTAATACAAAACATAATCTTATTTAACTTAAAAATCAATTATACTCACTCGTTTACAGATGGATCAAAAGACTGGAGTAGCAAATAACTTTGTAGAGGAAGCCAACAAATTGCGAACAGAGCAACCACTAAGACCAACATTTTGATTACCTATGATTAAAAAAAACATATGAAAAAATATCTGATTATTATCAGTAATTATTCTAGTGACTGTCTTTATATTTTACTCGAAAATAGAAATAAAAAATATGAAATAGAAATATACGAGTATATTGAGGTACATTCAAGAAGGTTTTACCACATGAAACTCTCTTTGAGATGCTATACATAATAGGCATATATCATTAAAATTGCTCAAACTGTATAATAAAATATGTTATTATTATATACTGAACATTACTAAAACTGTTTTATATATTTAATAACAAAAAAGTCATCATGAAATTGCGATAAAGCTAGTGAGATTTTCTTAGTAACTAGGATTCTAAGATTGATATAAAAAACAAGTCATAAGTGTTCTATGTATTTGTGCTCAATATCCAAAGTTAACGAATTCAAAAAGAGTGTTTCTGATTTTTGTAGCAGATTCTTTTTCACGACTTTTGGAAAGTTTATTAAAAAATATTATTTAATACCTTTTTCTTATTTTTCATTTGGTTTGCATCTCGTATTTCTTGTGCGTTCCCTGGTGCCCTGGCTCCCCATAACTTTTTGGCCATATGTGCGTAACCGAATGTGATCACGCAGAGTGGAATGATATACTACAATGAAATATATTTATTTATTATATAACACTAATCGTATCCAAATATGTCCTTTGAATTTAAAATTTATTTAGAAATATTCAAAATAATATGTACCAATCATAACTTATTATAAATTCTAAATGAAAAATCAATCTTGAACAACTTATATACGTTTCATTACCTTATAATGAAAATATCTCCAGTTATTTTTTTTTTAACTTTCAATGAAATAATTGTGATCAAAATGTATTAGAACTGTGAGTCGTTATGATTTATATAATATTAATTTTTAAATATATATTGATACTTACTTGGAATATATACAACAACAATCTGTATATTGCAATGGAATTTGATCCGAATTCATTCGTATCACAAAATGGTTTCTCGTAAAACACCTTGGACACTGTAAAAACTTGTTCGTCATTAACTTTATTCAACATATGTAGTGTCGATACGGAATTTTGAAATTGTTTTGTAAAGAATTTAACAACTGCTATTAATTATCGCAAAAGTTTGTCGTAATTAGTCAGTTTATAACTAATTATGTTGTGGTTTAAGTTCAAAGTGGTTTTTAGTGTAAATATATATGAAAAATTATAAAAACTGGATATTTTGTTTTTGTGTTTAATAGAACTATTGATTTATAAAATACTTATACAGTAAATCACCTTCCATCAGTTTTAAATTAGCAATAAAGCTTAGTACCCTTAAAGTAAATATTCTAATGAGTCTCGAACTCAAATAACATTATGATAAAATGTATTTGTCCCAAGGGCAATATTGGTTTTTGATCATTTTTGCACTTTCTATACAATCTCTTTAATCTTGTAACCATTACATTTTTAAACTTAGTAGACTGTAAAATGTCTCAGACATTTCATACATTCAAAGGCCCATTTATACATACCAGACACAATTTTATTTCTATAGAGAGTCGAGCTCTTATAAGTGTTCTTAGATTAAATCCCAGCAATGGATATTAAAACTCTGGGGAATTTCACAATTATGAAATAAATTAACTAAAATCCACTAAAAATACCTGGATCCTGTTCTTCTACCATGATGACTTCCCATGAAAGTGCCATAGGTGCGGCAAGAATCAATGCCAGAACCCATATTATTACAATTATAACTTTTGCAACCCTCTTTGAAGTGTGTGCACTGAAACAAATAAGCCCTTTAGCCTTTCCGCTATGTACTAAGAATCATGTAAATCTAATATTATTGTTATGAACAAGAATAATGTTAAAAATATTTTTGATGTCGAGATTCCTAAAACTTCGAAATCGATAAATAATTCTGAATTAAGTCTGAAATTTGAAATGGCTATATCTTTGATTGAAATATTGCAAGGTGTTCGGTGCGGCATTTAGTCAGGATTTTGGAAGTTATTTTTCATAGACGTCTGATTTATATAGATCGATTTTTTAGAAAAAAACGCTTGTTCATTACTTTTCAATACAACGACAAAAAATATTGATTTTTTTTGTATTTATCAGAAAAAATTACAACATTGTGACTGGTTCATGAATTGAACATATAGTTTTTAGTTTAAACAAAAAGTTAAATAGCAAAGTTTGTGTAAAAAAAATATTTATTAGTTACAATAAACCGCTTCGGAAATATTACATGGATTTAATATTGCATCCTAATACATCCTTCAATATAAGATAAATATATTGATTCTCTTCACAACTTGTTTGTAGTAAATATTAATAAACTCGGAAATTAAAACTCCAACGACAACAATTTACATAGCCTTTTCACTTTGTTGGTATAAACAATATTGGAGTTATGAAACGTTAATATTATAGGCATGTAATATATGTATATGTTGAAGAGAACATTTAATTAAGAAATTATTTCTATATATTTTTAGATATACCTAAATAGGTGTACAGTTCTATTTCTACAATTTCTTTATATAGGATTTCAATTAAGAAAATATTTTTTTAAGAAAATTTTCAAACGCCTTATGTTTTATGGTTGCGTTTCTCATGCCATACCTGAGAGGTTTAATTATAGCCCGATGTCGATCAACGGCTATGGCTGTAAGAGTAAACACACTGACGTTTACACTGAGTGCCTGAACGAATGGACAAAAGGCACACATAAAGTATGGCAGCAGCCACCGTTGTAGCAATGCAGCTTGGAACTGAAAAAAATTAACGTGTCACTTCCAGAAAATATCACAATGAAAGTCACTTTAAATAAGTACTTACTTGAAATGGTACCGCAAATAAACCTATAACAATATCAGCTAATGCCAAGTTAGCTATGTAACAGTTGGTTACACTTTGCATTCGTCTTGATGTTGCAACTACCCACATCACAAGTAAGTTTCCCACAACTGCCAAAACTGATATTGAACCGTATAAAAACGACAGCAATACTATCATTCCAGTGGGAACGTCGTATAATGTATCTGATGAATCTGAAAAAGGTTCTTTTTCAACTTTGGACTGTTTATATAGACAAATCGCTTTGTCAGGCAACAGCTTCGAAAAACAATCTTATATGTCTATCAATATTAGTCTTTTTATTGTTCTTAACTTAAAGTTACTGTAACGTTACTTAAAATTCAAAAGGATTCTACTTCTTATATTTATATTTATTTTTTATTTTATTTATTCATGTACCAAAAACAAGTAACACAGAAAAAAAAAGAATAATAAAGAAACAAAGTGATACATAGGAAAGCTTATCTCTATGAGAGATCTCTTCCAGCCACCCTGGAGTGTGAGTAATATTATGTTAAATTACAGGCAGGTACATCTTTAATTTAGGTGACAAAGAATAATTAAATTACGTTTTATTTATTACTTTGCATAAACATACTTAAATATACATAAAACTATTATAAACTACATATTAATTTACCTAAATACAAATAATATATACATACATACATATACAAAATAAAATACATATATATATCTAATTTCTAATGTTGTGATGAAACTGTAAGATAATATTTTTTTTAATCTGAATTTAAATGTATGTACTGAATTACATTTTTTTATAATATAGCCCGAAAGAGAATTCCAAAGTTGAGCAGCAACCACCGTAAAGGATTTTTTGTAGAAAATACCATTATAAGGGTATTATTTAATATATATATATATACTATTAAAATGAAACAAAAACTTTTAATTTAGCTTTGAAATCAAGAAGGAAGCTTTAACTTAGTCTTAAAACCGAATAATAGAACAAAATTGGCATTAAAACCACAGTTTATTTCATTTAAAGGCCAGTTAACTGTTTTATTCTTAGTAAAGTAGACGTAGCGTAATAAAAGAATATTAGATACTGTACTCTTCTGATGAAATACAACTATCGTGCTTTAAGATTTCCGCAAAGCAATGAGCGTAATAAAAGTATATTGCTTCTAGGTCGAAATTACAATGAACTTAAAATCTAGCTTTACATTTGCCAAATATATTACGTACAAATAATACAAACAAAACAAACGGCTTTAAATTGGAATTAAGTAATGCGCAACATTTTTCATTTCGTTTCTTTTGATAATCTTGTGCTTCTATTTATGTTATTCCGATTTTTTTTACAGATTTAATATAATATTTTCGTAATATATTCGTTAAAAGCTCCTTTAATCCTTTTAATATGAAAGCAAATAGTCACGGAGTTTTACCATTTGACATGAAATATAAAACGACTTTCTGATGTTTGGACTGTCACTTTATTGACAATCATTAATTTTATTTTTATTTAATTGGTTTTTACTTTCATATGTCAAATACGTACTGTAGGTATCATTGGTGCCATTGTGTGATAAATATTCTTTGATTGTTATATTTCTCGTCCAATCCGAGTCGTCTTCTTGCGCGTTACTGGTGCTGTAACAAAATATTTTTTTATTTTTATGTTAACAATAGATTTATACAGATTATTTTAAAGTTTGAACATTTTGGATCACATAATATTGTCATGCGACAGTTTTAAAAACAAACAGTCAATGTCCATTCCAGAAACTGTCGACATTTTGGAAATAAGACGTTAAAATAAACAAGGGAAAAGACTTTAGCACAATTTAGTAACAGAAATTTAGTTTTACTGATATGTGAATAACTGTAATGAAAAATTTTGGTACATACTATAAAAACATATTATTTTTTGGCCTTTATATAAGAAAGACTTTAGAGACTTATAAAAGTGAATGTGGTTACTAAACTTAAGTAATTTATATTCTATTGACTTCATAGGATATCTAATTACGAGTATAAAGTAATTTACTTCCCGTCTTATAGGGTATTATAGGAAATTGAGTAAAAGTTATCATGAACAATTATTGTCAAAGTTGATAGAGAGATTGTGTCTTTTGTTGGAATCGAGATAAAATTCTTATTTTTAAAATCTAAATTCTTTAAAAGAAATCTTTAATATTGGTACAAAAGATATCATTCTTTTACTTACTTCTTTGATGACTGTGTTGAAAATATTCTTGTAAAAAAGAAAATAATTAAAAAATGTTACATTTCTCTAACATAAACATGATTCATAACACTTTTGTTTTTATTACAAAAATATTGCAACTGGAACTTCTAATTTATAAGAAAGAACATTTTATTTTAATGATTTGCAATAACTATACTTAACTTATTGTGGGGTAAATACAAGTTTTCTTCACATGTTCAGCGAATAACTTCATATAATAATATTGGTATATAGAAAACACAAAGTAATTAAACAGTTCTTACTAATGTTACCCTCGAAATAGAAACTATGCTTACCATTGTTACAAGTAGAAATTCATTATCCGAGTATATACTAAATGTATTGAAGTTTTTAAGACTGCATTAAATAATTGTACTGTAAATATACGAACCTACATATGTAACATTACTTTGCTGGTTTTCATAAAAATGTGAATTAACTTTTTATTACAATATCATGATATGCAACATTTCGCTCTTCGTCATCATCTGTATAAGAAATTCTAACTACTGTGCTCTTAAGAGTTATTCAATATAAATATATGTAACTTATTTTATTAATAAAAACTAATAATTTTTATATTATTTGTTAAAATGAAACATTTTTCGGAGTAAACATTGGACTGGTGATGAATTATACATTTTTTATTTTATTTTCACGTACACGAAATAAACGTTTTACATGAAATTAAACTTTTAGATATAAATTTTGAACCCGGCTTTCCGATTAAAGTAACTGAGTTCACGAGAATACGAAATGAAAGTGTCGATCAGTTAGTCTCGTTATTTATTATCTACAGCCATTGATTTTCAATTTACTCAGGGATTGCTTTGGATGAAAGTGAAAAGTGTTTATCGCATCTTGTGGCCTTAATATGTGGTCACGAACATGGCTTTTTAATACTTTTCAGAAATAGATCCCATGATTAAAAGAAATAATATCTGCTTTTTATTTTAAACTTAAATGGCTATTTATTTTTAATTTAAACGGCCTACTGAAATAATCATTCACTATATCGAAACGGCTAGGTTTGTTTTCTTTTCTTGGAATACATTTATTTTGATTTGCTTCTATTAAGTATAATATTAATAATATTCTTTGGCTTGTTTTCTTTTCTTGGAATACATTTATTTTCGTCCGCTTTTATTAAGTAAAAAATTAATAATATTCGCGTTGGCGCTAGTCACATTCTGAAGTACACGAACGTCCAGACATGGTAGAGATTAATGGATAAGACGCGCATGAGATGGGTAAGAACACATAAATTCCCGGGTAACCAAACTACTATTTTTGTTCTCTAGGGTCCCTTGTTATTCTGAAAGAGGACATAAATTGTATAAACCTCCTCTGGAACTCCCGACATGCACATTCTGACGGGTAAAACCTAAATTACCTGACAGGTTCTCCCCACTTTAACATCAAGATAACCCTTCCCCTCAACTCAGCGTGACACTTCGGCCAAAATGGTGTACAGGGGAGAGAAACTCATCAGCAACTCCGATTAGACTCTTCGTATCTATCATTAATCCCTGACAACTTAGAATTACTAAAGGTTGTAAACATCAACACGTCCTACGCCATCATTTTCATGTCAAAACCAAAGATAACTCGATGAAAAACTTTCGCTTACATTCGCAACTATTGCTAGTATAGAAAGGTCTTACCTCCCTCTGCAACCAACCTTTCACTCTGGGTATGTTGAAAAAAGTGATTAAGAACGATACAATCTCAGTAATTCCTTCAGAAAGGCGAATGGCTTATGAATCGTGTTGTACAAGTTTCGTATGAAGGTTATGTCTTATTAAATAAATACATATATTGATTATATTGTTGACAATACGAAATAGCTCATAACATGAATAATCAAAACCCATGAATGTTCACAAAAAAATGTTAATAATATAATCTAATTCAAAAATAATTAAACTAATGTCTATTATACATATATATACATACTCTACTTTTTACAAAAATGAAGAAAAAGTCACAATACTTTAGAGTTAGTTCTGTGATATGTTTCAACATCATGAAAAAATTAAACATTAAAAGTTAATAATAGAATTGTATCTATACGAGGACGTTATAATATTTGCTGCCCTCACACGTTTATCAATACTTTACAGGAAATTTGGAATGTTTATATAATTGAATTTACCACTATGATATGATTTTGACAAAAATGTTTGAATAAATCTGCAACCTTTATATCTCTTCATTTTCTCTTATTCATCGATTTTAATTGCATGGGTTATTCATGTTAAAATGTATAGCGTAGTGACTCGCAAATGGATGAATATATTGCAATGTTTCATTAAAAATAATGAAGGACGGCGAAAAAAATATGATATTTTTTGTTGCAATTATAAGATCGTATAAAATAAGATAGATTTGATTTTTTAATAAATTCAAACGAATGTACTTTAAAATACGATTTTGGAATATGCTTTTAGTATACGCTTGAAGAATATTCATAACCTAAAACTAATACCATTGAACTTTAGCTGCCTTGAAATTAAACTGATGTGAACAGGCGTGGGGGCGTCTCAAATTGTTTAAACAACTTTTGTACTAGATTAGCATAATAGAAACCAGCTCTACTTATCTAGGATCAATAAATATAAAGACAGTATAATTTTAATTATAGCACAATTAAAACAAGCAATTTATTTTCTCCTTTGAACGCTTATTAAAGTTCGCCTCGACAGTGTTTTTGTGATTTTAAATTAATATTCTCATAGTATCAAAAACGAGACGATCGTTATCTATTCAAAAATATATGGTGAAGATTAAGTCAATAAACTAATCTTAATTAGGTATGTGAATTTCTGGGAGATTATGTGATTGGTAACTAGTCATTGTTAAAATTGAAAGAGAATTAAGTGAAAATAAAGGTTAAAAAAAGTGTTTTCTTAAATAAATTAATTTCAAATTTATCATAATTCGAAATTTTGGTAAAAACAAGCATACCTTTATTGTGAATAAAATTTAAATAATTCCATATACATAGTTAAATAAGATGGTTCCCATAAAATTTACTTATATTTTCTTATAGTTTATCGACGGCATCAATAAAAAATTAAATTTAATAAACCATTTATTATTTTTGTTTTAAAACCAGAAAACTTTAAGAGCCAAACAACACAGTATTGTAAAATTTTTAGAATATTCTTGTGTGTGTCTCTTTAGGAGCGAATATACCTATTTAGATTTTAGAAACAATATTAAATTCTAGTCACGTGTTTTGCATATATTGAACTTGTATACATATATATATACAAGTATATATATATATATATATATATATATATCACGCGGTTGTTAAATGTATGGACATACAATAATGCAACAGAGATTAAGGTGAAGTTATAAATTTAGATCCCGCCAGTAATCACATTTACAGACTATTTCTGTAAAGCTCGTTCTAATAGGATCTCTTAGAGCTTAAAATCTAGTCTTATAGATCATGAAATTTAGCGATTAGAAAGTTAGCAATTTGTTTTTAATCCTGTTAATATGGAAGTATATTAGCAAACTTCAAAAATCATACTTCAACTTTTTTTCTATCTTAACAAACGCAGAATTCGATATAAATAAATTAGATTTAGTAAAATGTTTTACTGCTTGACGTTTGATTTTAAAACAGAAACTAATTTTATAGATGACGGAGTATTAACATGATATTTTTTCTTTGAGCCGAATTAGCGTAGCCTTATATGAGACTAAAATAATATAGATATAAAAAATTATACATGTATAAACGAAAACGTATTATGAAGTCTAAGAAATTCTAATAAACGTAGACGTTGAATTAGTAGCGGAATTAATGGCTATGACTGTATTCCGCCGGAACGATGATGAGTTCCCTCATAACGAACATCACCTTCCCTCAACACACGCAAGCCGTTTGAATATTTTATGTCTCTCGTCTTGAATTAGTTCCAGAAGGTCTGAGATAGATTCAAAACATTTTTACGATTACTTAAAACAAACAAACCTATTATGATTGAAAACAAAGATTCTATTCGCGTTGGTTTTTAATATTTAAAATGTGTATTCTACTATTTTTACTGGCTCATTACGTCTGATGTGGCATTAGTTTTTAACATTTACAACGAATAGTAATAAAAATGTTGGCAGAAACTTCAACATCAGCCCTGTAAATTTTGTTTTGTGTGATGAATAATAAATATATGTATGTACACTTACATTATTTAAAGCTCAAAACCAATAGATTTCTCGAAGAATCTTGTACTAAATATACTGTTATTGCGTCGAAGTTTCATACATTTATATATTGGCCCAAACCTTAATGAATACTTCCATTAGGTCCAAGTAAAACAACTATTGTGTCGTTGTATTGGAAGAAAATTAGATTTAAAGAAATTTAGTTTTTACGTACGATTAAATAGAGAACTATAAGTGAAGAATATATGTACCTATGTATTTATAATTGAAAATATTGCCTTGAATAAAAAAAATGTGTGAGAAGAAGAATAAACTAGGTTAAGCATCTTTGTGAAATTAAAACTGGTTTCTCAATTCGCATGATATAAAATATTATAAATAATATGAAAAGAATATTTTTTCTGGCATAGGAATCTGTTCTTATGTCATTTAGCAATTTGACTGAGTTTAAAGAGTTTCGAAAAGCCTACATACATTCTACATTACTTATATCATATGTATATGTAATTTAAAGCCCAATTTAAAAGAACAGTTTAAAATGGGTATAAAATATCATGTTCGACTAAAGCTTTTTAGCAGTAATACTTATTTTTGGATTTGATCAATTATCATTTCGCTTGAAAATCGTAAAGATCGAAAATAAAATGTTAATTTTCTAATTGGCTATCTATCTATACATATAATAAAATTGTAGAAAAGTGCTGTCTGTACATTGAAAATAAAAATAAAAAAAATAGCAGGGGTTATTGTTATGTCGATGTCGAACCCAAAAATGTAATTAACTTTTTTTTTGTCTGTTTGTCTGTTCACGCTAATCTCAGAAACGGCTGATCCGAGTTGGATGCGGTTTTCACGAATATATTGTGGTATAATTCAGTTATGCTTTAGTGTTTGTTTCATGTCAATCGGTTCATAAATAAAAAAGTTATGTCAAATTAAAGTCTGAAGAATTGCGTTCAATATTCGACCGGGTGTGTCAATTATATATGGCTCTGTCCCGTGTTAGCAATCCCAGCAGCCTGTATGCTTTCACCCCCGATGGCCATACGTCTAATATTGTATATAGAGAAGCATTAAAGTAGGTTTTTTGCTACCCAAAATGACTGTGATTATGATCCAAAATAAAAATAAGTATATATTTAAAAAAAACGCTGCTTATAGTCACTATTCCACGCGAACGAAGTCGCGGGCACAGCTAGTACTTATAATAAATCTGTAGAGCGATCAATTCTGTACATAAAATATATTAAAAAAATAACTATCAAGGGGTGGTTAATGATCGCTACTAATGAGAAAAATGCAATCAGTATTTTTTTTTACATGCGTCTCACTGCTGACCGGGAACGAAGCTTTGCACTGAAGTATTTTCGTTCTATAGGTACCTTTACCTTACCTTTACAAGGAGTTACACGCGGACGAAGTCGCGGGCAAAAGCTAATATAATAATATATTAAACTATAATCAGATAAAACAAAACAGTTATGAATGTCGTCTTAGATTATAATGTTACTTCATAGTAAGCATATATGTAAATTATCGGCTTGAAAATTGTAAATACAGTTAATCATAAGGGATCAGTTTAATTTAAATATTTTATTCGTCATCACGAACATTTATTGAACGAAAATATTTTTTAATATACATATTTATATATGCATACTTGTTTTCCATCAAAATCAGTCCATCTATGTAAATAAAAATACAGATTTATATAGAATATGGATAAAGATACGTTATCTGAAAGAGATATGAGCTACTCTGGTAAATTCAATTTGCAAAAAACAAGCCTGATTCGAATAAAAGTTTCACTCAATAAGTTATATATATATATCGCATCCCCTGCATTAAAAATTATGAACGACGTAGAACTATGTACTGCCGTGGAAATCTGAATAGTACCTTAATGAATATAACTTAACTGTTGGATTAGTCAATGTTTAAGAGAATATTTCTAATACACGTACGTCTAGTTAGAAAATTGTAGTATCATCAATCCAGGTTTCCCTTAAATCTCTCTTTAAAAAAATAGCAATTTAACCCAATCTTTCGTAAGTAGATAAATGTATACCAAAAAATTAATTATAATTAATTATTATTAATGCCTTTTCTGTTAACAAAATAAATTCACTGCATAAATATAAACTGCAGTCAATCCGCGAATATCGGTAAATGAATAAAAGATGCCTCATAAATCTTTGTCGTTTTTTATTTATGACAGCCACTCCTCGAACGAG